TTGCATATGCACCAGGAAAACAGGATTTGCCACGGATCTCATGGAAATTGGTATGACAGGAAGGGGCCATACGATGAAACAGAAGCGAAGCAGAGTGGAACAGACTTGCCATTACCAGAGTACCGTAAATTATGTTGCCTCTATATATACTATTTTGCTGTATACCTGTCTGACTCTGAACAATCTGCTGAAATGATAAAACTTTTTCATGCCCAACTAGTGATCAAAATATTTTAAAAATCGGTATTATTTTCTTGAGGGCGGTCCCAGAATTGTCTTTCTTCATTAAATTCTCTGTCTTTGTAATTTATGTAAAGGTTAACTCGTTTGTTTGAATAAATTTGAAATAAATTCAAAACAGAAGACTCCATCTCAAATCGCCATTACGAGAACGCGAAATGGATTTTTGATTAACTGTTTACGTGAACAAAATTAACATGATAATATTACTGTAAGTGAAAACTGATTTGAGAATGAATAGAATTCATCTCCAACATCATCAAGACTCACGAAGTCCAACGAAAATATTTTCCTTGGGAAGAAAACGCTTTAAGAAATCACAGAGGGCGCGCCGCCATGGTCCGGCTCTCGACGTAGACTAGCCAAGAAATCCAAAAATATGCTTATTTAAGTTTCTAGAAGCATTTTTGAGTAAAAGCAAGCAAGTGGGTCTTTGTGCAGGTTTTCGTGCTGAATACGAATATTTTGTTTGCCAAGGCTGAACATGCCTAATTAGGTCAGTAATTAAGGTCAAAGGTCAATGAGTGCATTTTTTTTTTTTTTTTGCAAAAATGCTCTATAGGATATTCTCCATACAATTATATATATAAAAAAAAAAAAATATATTGAAGAATAAACTCTACACATGTCATCCAAAATTCAACTCTAAAGGAAAACCTGAAGAAGATTTGAACTTTGATGGTGAATATCTCCTTAACGGTAAGACTTTTAATATTCGATAACAGGTCTGCATTCCCTTTGTTTTCAAGTGCAGTAAAGTAGGATTTTTTATTTATTATTTTTTTTTATTATTTTTTTTTTTTTTTTTTTTTTTTGCGTTATCTTGGTTTTGAATTCTGTGGTCATTTTTGAAACCATTTATGGTACATAGTTTTCATAATCAGGCGTACTGTTAAGCGAAATTAAATGAGTGTTTTTTTATTATTATTATTATTATTTGACATTCTTCATACAAACACGCAACAAATGTTTCAATATTTTGAGGGATAAAGTTACAGATGTCATCAAAATGTGAAAATCAAAGGAAAACTTGAAGCAGATTTGAGCTTTTTTGTTTCATATCTCCCAGGATAAGGTATTTGACATCATTCAGTTTCTACTCTAGGTTCAACCAAAATCTTCCTTCACGTGCTGCCATCTATCTGAAGCTGTTCTAATCTCACTAGCCTTCTATTATTAGCCTCCTCCCATAACAGGTGACCTTTGCTTGGCCGTCTTTTTGCTTGTTGAAACACCCTTTATCCCTTTCTGAGAAACCAGGAAAAAACATTTAAAGCAATGCAGCTGCACCAAAGGCTGCATAACCAAGAGCTGCTTGTGGATATGTGGTCACTTATATATCAATTATGCCTGTAAACCATGTATATAATTCACATTTTTATTACCCATACCAATTGTAGTTATGTTTGCTGAATTGTACAGCATATCCGGCATGTGTAACTTTTAAGGCACACTGTATGACATGGCATCCTTCTTTTCTTTTCCATTTCACGCATGCGCATGTCGCGCATGATCAGAGGTCCCGAGGTAGCTAGCACGAAGGATGTATCCTTTCCTCTCGCTAGCTAGCCTGCTCTTTGTACCTTCAATAGACCCTGCGGTTAAAAGAACCGACAGTATATGCTTCCTCCTTCGTAGAGACTCTGGAAGACGGAGCAAGTACACACTGCTCATGTCGGAAGTTGGGAGACCGGCCATGTACTGATGCCTATAAGTGCAGTGAAAGTGAGACCTTGCAGAAATAGGGCTAAGTAGAAGTGAACTCTGATGCCAACATGCTTGATAAGACCCTTTGAGCCATATATTAGTTCTAAAAGTTTTACGTCACCAATTCAGGGAAAGAAAATATCCAGATGGGCCCCCCCAGTGGTAGGGTCAGGGCTTAGTAATTGGGACATGCCACAGGATGTTATTTCTTCAAAAAATAGGGTCTGCAGCTTTCTTTGGCAAAGCCATATATACCAAGAATTAGTATTTGGTCTGAAAAAAAACTTTTCCATTCATAATTCCATGATCGTTTCAAACTATATTTGCACTCATTAACCTTTCCTCAATTATACTGCTAAGAAAACTTTGGAATGCAGATGGTCTTAAAGATGGTCTCTGGTGTGAAAGAGCCTCGCTGCATTTTTTTTTTTTTTTTTTTTTACCGCATGAAACAAAAGGAATGCAGCCTAGTGACAAAATACCAGTCACCGTTAATGAGATATTCGTCTTAAAATCTCAAATCAGGTTTCTTTTAATTTGGAAATTCTGCCTAAGTAGTTTATTTTTCAAAATATTGAAAAATCTGTAGCATAGAGGAGTTAAAAATGTCAAATGAATCATTTCTTGAAAATACACATTTTTTGCAAAAAAAAATGATAATAATAATAATAAAATAAAATAGATAAATAAATAAATAAAATAAAAAATAAATGTTGTATCCCTTGACCTTAAAGCTTTGGAATATGGTTTCAAAATTGTTCTCAGATTCCATGACCAAACTAATGTAAAAAAAAAAAAAAAAAGCCTGTTTTACGACTTTTTAATGCTTGAAGCAAAAGGAACGCGGCCGTGTCACAAAATATCAAAAGTCTTACCCTTAAGGAGATATTCCCCATAAAAGTTCAAATCTGCAGGTTTCCCTTTAATTTTGAAATTTTGTAGAATTTATTCTTCAGTGTATTGGAAAGTCATTTACATATTTGCTTAAAGAATGTCCAATAAAACATTTTTGCAAAGAGAAAATGATTTTGCACTCACAGACCTTTGACCTTGATTATTGACCTAATTGGGCATCTTCTGCCTCGGCAAACAAAATATTCGTATTCAGCACGAAAAAACGCTCCAGATAGACCTATTTGCCCACTTTTACTCAAAAATGCCTATAACATTCACATTTTGAGAAAACATTAGTCTAACAACCCTGTTCCTGAAGGAGCTCATTTGAGTTGAGGCAGGACAAAAGAAAAAGAGAGAAAAAAAAAAGATTGGAGAGTAGTATTTGGCCGCGCGGTCTTGAAGAGCTTTCCTCTGAGACCCGTCTCCCACTCAGCTCCTTGTGGAGAAAGGGCGCTGACCTGAGGTGTTTATCCCCTCCTCTTGAATCACCTGCAGCTGTAGGAACATTCTACAGGCTCCGCAGGGGCAGAGGGCAAGGGAGGGTGAGAGTTGAGCTAGTTCTGGTGGTGTAGATAGTAGAAAAGTGAGATGAATTGTCGTCTCTGATGATGTCATCCCAAAGCGGTCTTCTACTTTCACGACTCGCATTGAGACTACTCTTGTGTGTGTGTGTGTGTGTGTGCGTGTGTGTGTGCGTGTGCGTGTGCGTGTGCGTGTGCGTGTGCGTGTGTGTGTGTGTGTGTGTGTGTGTGTGTGTGTGTGTGTGTGTGTGTGTGTCTGTCTGTCTGTCTGTCTGTCTGTCTGTCTGTCTGTCTGTCTGTGTGTGTGTGTGTGTGTGTGTGTGTGTGTGTGTGTGTGTGTGTGTGTGGGAGAGAGAGAGAGAGAGAGAGAGAGAGAGATAAGCTGAGCTTTGAACGTGTAAAAAAATATCAAATAGAAGAATCAGAGAACTGCAAACGCCAGCTCAAACATGGACACAGGCCTACATAAATGCAAGATTAAAGGAGACTTATGGACGTAATTCACTCATTATTTTGTTTCATCTGAATTGCCTTCTCGATGATATACATGCAAACACAAACACATCCATAAGCAAAAGTAGGTAGACAAGCAAAAACAGACATAAACAAACACATACACTCATCGTATATAAACGACACAAACGCGCCCATCTAATTGGAAAAGACAAACAAGCAAACATGCAGACACAAACAGAAGCATCTCACGTATTCAAACAAACAGATGCACCGCGTTCAAGGTTACAAACAAGAATTGAATGATGATAATAGAAGATAATGATATTGATAACAATAGTGATGATTATAATAATAATCATGATACTGGTAATAACAACAATGATAACATTAATGATAACGATCGTGATAATAACAATAACAATGATGATATTGATAATAACAAAATAATAACAATAATGATTACAATGATAAAAATGATAATGATAATAACATTGACAATAATAACAATGATAATACTGATAAAAATGATAATGATAATGATATATTATTATAATAATAATGATAATTATAGTAATGATAATCATGATAATGATGATAATAATAACAATGGTGATAATTATAATGGTAATGATAATGATAGTGATAATGATAAGGTTATTAATGATAATAGAGATAATAATAATTATCAGTAGTAATACTTCTAATAATAATGATGATAGTAATAGCAATAATAATAATGGTAATAATAACAAGACTGATAACAATAATAATAATGATAATAATAATGGCAATGGTAATGATAATCATAATGTTGATAATAATGATAATAAAAATGATAATGACAATAGTGATAGTAATAGTAATAATAACAATGATAAGGATAATAATAATAATATTATTAATAATGATAATAATGTCAATCATAATGATAATGATGGCAATGATAATAATAATAATGATAACAATAATAGTAATAGTAAAAGCAATAATAGTAATAATGAAAATCACTATAACAAAAATGATAATACTAACAATGATAATAAAAATCATAATGATAATAATAATCATAATGATAATAGTGATAGTAACAATAACGATAATAATAATAATGATTATAATAACAATAACAATCATGATAATGAATAGATAGAAAGGTAAATCAGGAATAACTGGGTATCCCCTCTGTCTGCTACCAAAGAAAACGGAGAAATCGTAAGGAAACTGGAGGGCAGAAACAAGAGGCGTTCTTTCTTTGTCTACTTTGCACTAACTAGTGTCTTTTTCAGTGTAAGTAACATTATTATCCAACGATATTAGCTTAATTCGCAGTCGTTAGGAATCATAAATTGTAATTTGCCCAGAAGAAAATTATTATATAAAGGGCAGTCAGTTGTGACAAACATGACAGATGTGTAAAGCCCATGAATTAAATTAATTAAGGTTGTTAAGGTTTGCGGAATCACCGCAATTTAAGGGCAAGATGTTAGTGATGAAATTTGCCTTTTGCTTATGAAAAGGTTTCTTAATGAAAAGACTGCGTCCCGCGTACGGCAGCCGTATCCTATTTATGTGGTTAGGCATATGTCACATATATATGCGCTTATAAACGCTTATTAATGACGAACCTACCCTAACCTAATCCAATCTTACCCAACTCATTGAACCTAATTGTTTGTTTCACCATGCATGTGCAGAACACCAATCGAGGGAGTTTTCTGTAGTACACAGTCACTTCCTTATAAAATATTCAAAGAAACATCAAAAAAGAAGAAAAAAAAAAGCAGTAAAATTCCAATTCTAATTAATATTAAAATTTTGTGACTTGGCTGGTTTGTTAAAATTGTGCGAGGCCCGACCCAATGAGCAGTCATTCAATGGACATGCTTATTAACTGAAATAGAGGCATATCTATCAGTCTAGACATGCATATCTATGGTATAGATACATAGATTTATATATCTGATGGGTAGATATGCCTTTTTTTCTTTATATATGCATGTCTGTATACACAAATATTTGTTGGAATATTAGTTGGATCGTGCCTCACGCAATTTTAACAAACCAGCCACATGTATTCAAACCAATAAGACAGAATCTTTAGGAAATCAAAATTTTCTGTCAGTTATATTCAGAAAACCTTCACTTTTGACTGATCAGAAAGATGCGAAGATTGTGGTATTGATGAATTCATTCCTTTCAGCCTCTGCAACCCATAATTGTAGGACATTCACTGAAGAAACCCCTCCCACACACCCATATTCTTGGCCCTGATAGCAAGAGAGGGCAGGAAAAGGGACAGGGAAATTATAGGGAGAAAAGAGAAAAAATATTCACAAAAAACATCAATGTAATAATAACATAAGCAAAATTGTCTTGTTCAAAAGTTATCGGATGTAACCTGAGCTTATATGACATTTGAAACATTTAACATAACCCACCCTAATCAGTAATGGTAAAGTTTGAACCAGCCATCATATATAAGGCAAATGATATATGCAAAAGACAGTGTACATAAATCAAGTAAACTTATCTTCTATGTAGTTCCATCACGAATCAACAATAACATAATTATATCACACACAAGTGTCAGAGAGTCCTGATAAGATAACCTGAATTAACATTCCAGTCAGACACACCAGCCTAAGCAAATCTAACCAAACTTGGCCTAAACTTAACCTATTCTCACAATATAAGAGGTATATTCACATGGACTTTCCTCACAGTTTAGCTAGACTTTGATTATTATTGTATTACTCAGTTTTGTTAATATAATTGTTCATAATGGAACAGAATTAAATAATTAAATCATGCCCATGCCTCGGACTTGGTCTCCATCACATGTATTCTAGCAATATAGGACCAGGATTCGACCAGTTCATTGTTAGGGAGCCCTACAGAGTCAACCGTCAGAATATAATTGGAGGAGCTTATTAAACAGTTTGATTTATTTTGCTTAGAGGTTCCTTTTGGTTCCAATATATGAGAATCTTCATTTTTCTTTTTGTATATTCATGAAACCATTTTCTGGATTTTTTTTTTTATATAATATAGAAACAATTATAAAAGATGCTCTTGGTACAATGATCTTATATTCATCATGCAATATGATTTTTGGCAAAGAAATTAGTCTATGGCATTATGTGTGGAGATATATACAAAAACACTGATCAAGCATAGGACCTTTACCAATAGAGAACTTTCCTTTTCCAAACCAGTCCTAGTCACAAGCTAATAATAATGATAATAATAATAATAATAATAATAATAATGATAATAATATAATAAATTGAATGCTAATAGAAAAAAATATATATGTTACTTATGAAATAAAAGTGATAATGTTAAATATCAAAATTGATATAGATACTAAAAAAATCTTTTTAACTGAATTTTCTCTCTGTCAGTTGATGCTGTAGCAGAGGAAACTCTCCCAGTGGCATTTCTCACAAGAAAATGGCCACTATAGTTCCTCCTCAGCCTCCCAATGATCCAGACTTAGAAGTGAAGGTGAAGAAAGGTAGGTTTGACTTACCTTTTTCTGAGTCTTCCTTTACAGGGAATCCATTTCTCATGAATAGTTTGGTGTCATATCTTTGGCTATTTTGTAATTTTGGTTTTTGTTGTCCTTTTACAGCCACTGGTGAATTTTCGAAATTTAGCACACAGTTCAAGGAAAGAT